ATAATTGTTTCTCCTGGTATACTGAACAGTAAACTGTCGTAACCCAGGGCTGAAATTTAGCCAATGCCTCGAAATATAATTATTTTAAAATACTTGAAAAGAGAAATAAAGTTTTTATGGATAAAAGTAAATACTTTTAAAGTTACAAAATGGGCACAACTTGGGCTTCCCTGGTGGCCCAATGTGTTAAGTTTCTATGAAGCTATCCACAAGAGTTTGCTCCCCAGCCAGGGAACTGACCCACATGGCACAGCAGACCTCTCTGGTCTCACTCACTGCCCCCCTCAGCAGTTTATTTCAGTCAATCAGTCTGTTCTGCTCTCCACTTTGTCTCTGGCGAATTCTCTAACCCACTGTACCTCTGGGCTGCACCCTAGCTCTTTCAAGCATAAATCTTTTTAAAAAATTAAACACAATTTAAACCACTCATATGGAGATCCCCAAGTAACAGAAAAGTAATTTTCGATTCATTAGCCCACTTGGTTCAGATGTCTTATATAACTTAACATAGCAACAATTAATTAATATCCTCACTAGGAAACTGCCGACTTCCATACCTTTCCCATGGAGTCACACACATGTACTGGTAGTGTTCATCTATATTTTTAAGATTAATCATATCATGTTGTATTATAGTTGTGTATGCTTTTCACACACCAAGCAATAGTACAAATTTTCTTGTTTTTAAGTATGTACAAACGTAATATGCCTTATGCTAGTTCACAGAAGGGTGTTACATCTTTAATGTAACATTTCCCCTCTTGGTGACATGGAAAATGTTCCACAGTGATTAATAATAATGCAAGTATTTCTCTAAAAATATACTCTGAGAGTTATTTCCTTTGTATCCCGCTTAGGCACCCTTGTTTTTTACTGCAAATAAATACTGCGAAACTGCTTTGCAAAGTATTGCTAGCAGTTAAGAATGCATCAGCTTCTGGAGCCGGGTTGCCTAAGTGCTGCTACTTAGAGGCTAAAACCTAAGGAAATTCACTCAACTTCTTTGTACATTTGTTTCCTCATCTGTAAAGTAGGCAAGATAGGTAATAGCTACTTAATAGTGTTGAGAAATAATTTACTTACTATGGGGGGGGATTTATTTAATACATGTGTAGTACTTAAAACAGTGCTTTGTGAATATTGAACACTCAGTAAATGCTGGTTAGCTCTTGCTTGTGAAGCCGATCTTTTCATAATTTATGAATCCTTGGCATTTTTTCTTTGTGAATTTTCAGTTAGCATTTGTCTGTTTTTAAAAATTGATATATAAGACTTTTTAGAGCATCTATAAATCATTGTTACATTTTTTATAAGCATTTTCTCTTAATCCAGTACTTACTTTACTTTCATGGTTTATTTTACTGAATGGAAGCATTTAATTTTGATGTAATCAAATTATTCACTTTTATCTGTTTTATCTATCTAATGTTTTTGTAATTACAGGCGTAACACACTTATTTAAAAATATTTAATACTTTAATCAATGTGCTATTTAGTTTTGTGAATAAGGTAAGATAGGATCTAGCTTTAATTTTTCCAAATGAATACCTATTGTTCCAAATATAATTCTTTTCTTTGTTGGCTTGAAATGTCATCTTTAATCATAACCAAGCCCATACTGCTGTCCATTTCTCTATTCTTTAACCTGTTCCTCAATCTACACATACAGGCTGCACCAATACCACATTTGGTATAATTATAACAGCTTTAAAATGTGTGTGACTATTCACTGGGGCAAATCTCTTATCCTGGTCTTTTTCTATTAATATAAGTTAAACTATTCTTGAAAATTTATTTTTTCATACATATAAACTAGAATCGACAACTTGAGTTATAGTAAAAATTCTTCAGTTATTATACTATATTTAGGTTGTGATCTGGAAAGCATTACAACTTTACAGTGTTAAACACAACTATGAAATGTTTTTTTCATATCTTGTCATATCCTGAAGCAGAACTTTAGTCTTCTTCACAGGCCAAATGAAAGAAGACAGGCAGCATATACTTGAAACCTCTGTGGGAGAGTTTTTGCCAGACCAGGCTTTCTGAAGAAGGTGATCTAAAGTTACTCTCATTTATTCACCTTCAGTGTCCTGCGTATTTTCTGCACATCATGAGTTAATAATATATTTCTTGTTCATTTATTTGATTATTCTGTTATGGCCTCACTATACCACAAAAGCATAAACAGATGGATATGATATATGTATGGTGTTAACTGGGGCAAATCCCAACCAATAAAAACTTGGTTTACAGTCTTCATAAGCATATGTCAGACTTAGAAGTAGTGATGCTCCTCAGAGGTAATTCTTTAGGTGTATACAATACAGTATTAGCGTAATTCAGTTCCTGTAATCAAAGTTTGCAAAATCATGCCAGGGAAGAGTACACAGGATACTTTGTTTTTACTCTCCTATACACACACATTCAAACATACAATCACATTTTCAGATGGCAACGCAGTATTTAAATCTTCTGTACCACTGCTACCTAAGTGGTAAAAAATAATGTCATGGAAGTCATTCAATCACAACCCTAACATTCATATTTCAAATAATTTCCATTTATTTGGGCCAAATAGCAAAATTCTTCCTCATTGAACACAAATCCATACATTCAGAATGAGCCTCCAGGAGGCAGCATAAGCCTGCCCACGTCACAGGGCTGCACAGGGTTTGTGACTTATTCCCGATTCAAGGAAACGCATCTTTCTGGGGTTTGTGACAGCAACATCTGCTACTCACCAAAGGCAGGTCTGCTCTGCACCCACCCAGAGGTTGTCAGGGTTTCCCCAAAATTCCCCAAACCTTTGGCCATTTCTTACCACTTTCTACAGCCTCCTAGACCCTTCTACACACATAAACATGATGTTATTTAGATGTTTCCAAAATCTTCACAACCACCTTCAATTTTATCCTGAGATTCAAGTCCCAATTTCTAGCCAATTAATTCATATCTTAAAATGTAAGCTGAGGGCCCTCCCTGGTGGCGCAGCGGGTTGAAGCACTGCACCGAGAAGCTAAAGCCACTTCCGCATGAGTTCGATCCCCGCCTGCCCCGGAGGCGACCACATGGCATGGCAGACCTCTCCTGACCCGCCCGCTGCTCCCCTCAGCAGTGTACTTTATCGATCTGCCTGTTCTGCTCCCCACTCTGTCTCTGGTGAAGCCTCTCACCACCCCTGAGCCTCTGGCCTGTACCCCAGTTCTGTATGTACAAATAAAATAAAAAAAATTAAAAAAAAAAAGGAACAGGCTTTCCTTTAAAAAAAAAAAATGTAAGCTGAACTCAGTAACAATCACTGAGCTCTCAAATCAGCTGCTCTTTCATTCTAAAAGCCCTAATGGTAGCAGTATCTTCACAATCAGCCAAGCCAAGAGTGCCCTCAGCTTCTCAGTAGACCCATCAAATCCTGCTAAATCCATCTCCTTAACATTTCCATTGCTCTCGGCCCCCATCTGCTCTAGCAGTCATTCAAAGGCAGCTAGCATCTGGTTCATTATTTATAAAAACAGTAGAAGAGACTTTCTATTTGGAGTTTGCATACACAAAAATGACAGATTTCTATGTAACTATCCTGTCACCATCAAGCTCATTAAAAGTTTTTCCTACAATGAAAAAAAAATAGGGCCTTGGTAGTGCAGTGGATTAAAGCACAGCACTATGAAGCTATCACAGGCACATCAGCACAAGTGTGATCCCTGGCCAGGAAGGTGACCTACGGGGCACAGCAGACCTCTCCTGACCCGCCCACTACTCCCCTCAACAGTGTTTTTTCAGTACATCTGCCTGTTCTGCTTCCTACTCTGTCTCTGGTGAATCCTCTCACCCCCCGCTCCTCTGGCCTATACCCCAGTTCTGTAAGTATAAATAAATAAATCTTTAAAAAAAAATTATACACTTACTTAAATGGTGTAAACAAAAATGGTAAAGTAACTTCTTTTTTCTGATTCATTTTCACCTGGAATCAATTATGAACATATTTTATTATATTATGAATAAGGAAAAAAGTTAATTTCATTTTGAAATAAAAATAACCCTCTAAAGTGATTCTTCCAAGATGATTAACTACTTTGAAAAATAAATGGCATTTGTGTTACTATATTATTTCATAAATATTTAAAGAAAATCATTACTATTCTATCACAGTAAGGTGAAAGCTAAATATCTTTAAGCTTGTAAAATAACACACTGAATATAATTAAAATGTATTATGCTTGCAAAATAACAAAATGAATGTAATTAAAATGTACTAAACTCTTAGAAGACAAAATAAACCAAGTTGCATTAACAGAAGCAGCAGTAACAGAAAAGATTCAGTTACAAGGTCACCTCTTTAAGTTCTTAATGTAAAAATTGATGCGGAATGAAAAAAAATGTGCCATCTCTGTTACTCCTTCTAAGGACAAATTCTAATCCATAAAGACTTGGCTTGTATCTTCACTGATGTGTAAGCTTGTCTAGGGACTGTCCTCAAAGATAATTCATCTTCAGACTGCTTCATGGAAACTGCATCTTAGAAATGTGACTCTTCATGACACTAGTCAAATGCCAAATCTAATGTAATAAATTATATTAAATCATTTCTTAAAACACAACATCAAATATTTGTACTTAACGTGATTTTAAAACTGGCTATCCATTTTTGGTGAGCCTTGTTTTACCTTGAATTGTTCAAGAATTTGTACTGCATTTGTAAACATGCTCTCTGCTTTGAAGAAATCAGTGTTGTTAAGATAATTCACAGGAAGGGTTCCCTGCAGATAATAAAATGGTTCAATGTTAGTTATTAACACAGCTCAGTTATTCTTTGAAAACAAGACCGACCGGCAAAGGAGAAACAAGCAAGATAAGCCAGTGGACAAACTGCTTAGTGGAGCAATTAAATTAAAAACTCTTTATTAAAGTTTTAAGTAGAGGATGTTCCATTATTTTCCTCACAACAGTAGTTATGATAAAATAAATAAAGCAAAGAGATTCATTTAGTTCAATAAGCCTAACATTTATTTCAAGACCACTATATACCAGGCAGCAAATCAGTAACTTTACATGTACAAAAAAGTCACTATGATGGGCTCCAACCAGCAGACTTAAAGAGAAACATAATAAAAAATATGAGATTATACTATATAGCATGTATTAGAATTGTTTTATGAAACTTGTTTCAGTTACACACACACATACTTATAACTATATGCATCATATTATATTCACACTTATAACTATATGCATCATATTATATTCAC